AGCAAAAAGATTAAAATATGAAGACTAGGCAATTAGCCTATTGTGTGATAGGACTGTAGAAAGTAGCCTACTGATGTGATGGGACTAAAATCTCCAGAATTCTGAAAGACTACATTGAATTATATTGTCATTTTTTAAATAATGTAGACTAGCTTCATTATATATATGTTTGCGGGGATAACTCTGATTGTTGGTTTTAATCTATAAAGATTATTCAAACTGGAATGTGCCATCTCCTGGTTCAATCTGGCTATGTTTTGAAGGAATTAAGGCAGCCTTTCAGGGTATTCCTGTTTGGCTAAGGAAATTGATACCTGTCATGTCTCAATCTTTTAAACTGCTTTTGTTCAGTGCAATGTTGGAATTTTATTTGCTTATTCTCTGAGTCTCTCATATGTTAATGTGGTTTAATCTGCTTCCTATTTTAATCTTTGGGTTAGTTTAGTTGATGTGCAGTGTCAGCTCCCTTAAGTTCTGTGTCATGTGTGATGATGATAAACTATATAATTCCTCACATAAGTATTTCTACTTTGTCTTAATTAGACAAACTTGTAGATAACATTTAATTGTCAGTTTTCTAAAAAGTCTTGTCATTCAGGACTCCACTAATAAACCCACAGGCCTTATCACTCTATCCTTCCAATTAAACATTCCTGTAGTAGTGTCCAGATTCAACATGATAAATTATTCCTGCCAGGTTGAAGTAAAATCTGGAGAAGAAGATGAAGAAATTATCTTCAAAGAGAGGGCAAAATTATACAGATGGGACAGAGAAGTCAATCAGTGGAAAGAACGTGGTGTTGGAGAAATAAAGATTCTCTTCCACACGCAAAAGAAATGTTACAGAATTTTAATGAGAAGGGATCAAGTTCTCAAAGTCTGTGCAAACCATATAATCACAAAAACAATAGACTTAAAACCCTTAAATTCTTCAAACAATGCTATGGTTTGGACTGCAACAGATTATGCTGGTGAGTATTTGTGTAAAGATGTCCCATAGCTTCACCTTTTTCCTAATATAACACAACATAATATAACACTGTGCTATGTATAATATTTGAATTTCAATTTCAGATGGTGAAGCTAAGATAGAACAGCTTGCAGTTAGATTTAAAACCCAGGAGCTGGCTGATTCCTTCAAGAGGAGATTTGAAGAGTGTCAGCTGAGTTTGTCAGAACAGCAGAAGGGACATGTATCCCTGGCAGCAGAATTATCAAAGGAAACTAACCCTGTGGTATATCTTGAAATTTCTGTTGATGGTGAACCTCTAGGGCATGTAACGATAGAATTGTTTTCCAATGTTGTTCCTCGAACTGCTGAGAACTTCAGGGCACTGTGCACAGGAGAAAAAGGATTTGGATTCCGAAACTCTAGATTTCACAGAATAATTCCAGATTTTGTCTGTCAAGTAAGTGAAAATATATTCAAAGTGTGATCAAAAAGACTTTAATTTTCAGTTTCAGCAGTCCACGTGTTGCTGCATAATGGTCTGAGTTCCTCAGGAAATTGTGACTCAAAAAAAATGTGGAGTTACTGTTTCAAATCCACATGTGAACCCTTCTGAATTAGAGCCAATTTAGACGCAATACAGAAAAAGTTACCAGTATAGAAAATAGAATCAAATATGAAAAAAGCAGAAGGGGAAATTCTTAAGACTGGCACAGAATTTATTCCAAGTCTTCTCTTCTGCATTAGTAATCATGAGTAACCCTCTACCTATTGGGTACTATTTATTTTATTTTATTTTATTTTATTTGTCAAATCTATATTGCCGTCCGTCTCACCTGAAGTGTTTCTTATGTCTTCCAGTAAGAAACAATTTGAAAATAAACACAACTGGAAATGAGAGTAGCATTTGGGCTTTGTTGCCATTGTGTTTGAGCAATATTGAATCTTAGGTCTAGAAGATGGAATATGTTAGCTTAAACCTTTGGGCTCATTCATGTAAAAGCAAAACATAGTTTATTGTTATGTTTGAATGCCACCATCTATATGAATAGGCTGAATATCCTTAATATATATATTTTTTATCAATTTGGATCCTATATAATTTGCCACTGCCACTGACAAGTGGGGGTTTCTTTCCTGTTTAAGGATGCATTATTATTGGTAAACATGTTTGGGGTTGTATTGGAGATGTTTCCTTCTATTACATATTTCACTAAACTTTCTCAATTTCTTCTGTTCCAGGGAGGGGACATCACTAAACATGATGGCACAGGAGGACAGTCCATTTATGGAAATTCATTTGAAGATGAAAACTTTGAAATAAAACACACTGGTCCTGGCCTATTGTCAATGGCAAATCGTGGCAGAGATACCAACAATTCTCAATTCTTTATTACTCTCAAAAAGGCAGAACAATTGGACTTTAAACATGTTGTTTTTGGGTTTGTAAAGGATGGGATGGATATTGTGAAGAAAATAGAATCTTTTGGCTCTCCCAAAGGAACAGTGTCAAAAAGAATTGTGATTACAGATTGTGGGCAAATATAAAATGATTGTGCTGACATGTTCAGAGATTAAATATAAATCTTCAGCAGATTTAGACAAGATTATGTTCAGGGTTTTTTGTTTGTTTAAAAAATGAACACTTCTGATGTATAAATGTAAAGTTACAGCTCATAGCTGAGTACTTTTTAAAATGTGTTTCAATTGACTTTGCATGTTGTGAAATAAATGTTCAAACACTAGTCAACTTCAGGTGTACTTTTGTTTCCTCCTGATTTTTGTATTAAATAATTTAAAATGAAATCCCAGGTGTCTGGAGTTGTGTGTTCTACTTTGTGTATGCTTTTTGGCTTAATTGAATGATTCAAATAATATTACGAAGTAATGTATAATACTTTATTCTACATATTTTCCTTGTGTTAGAGAATGTTTTCCCATAGCAAACAAAATGTCGCTAATTGCTTAAGTGGTGATACTGAGTTGCCCTAAAACTATTTTGGTGTTTTAATGTCTTCAAGTAAAGGTTGAAGGTTACTGCCTTTAATTATAGGTGGTAGGTGCATTGTTTTGCATTCTCGGCTTGGAAACTAGTTCTGCCATCATTGTACAGCATTTACATGGGGCCATTAAGAACTCTGGTGCACAATGTATTAAAACTGAAGGGAACTACTGGCACTGTTTCTCTCTCTTATCAGTTATAATTGCAGGTGGCAACTTCTGGCTGAACTTTTTGAGTTTGAAAGCTAAGCAGGGCTGGGCTTGATTGGTACTTGGATAGTGCCAGGCAGTACAAGGGCGATCGGCGCCAGTAGGAAGTAGGGGGGGCGGGAAATCCCGGGAGATAACGGCAAACAACTTGCACGCTGTGGTGCCTGTCTCTTGGTTCTAGAGAAAAGCCTGGGCCTGCACCCCAGATTCAAAGTTGCTTGTTCTGCTCTAACTCATCAGATTTGACAAGACGTGCCCTTACAAGGACGTGAAGCTCCCTAAATATCTTCCAGCGCGAGGGCCGTTCGGCATCGCGGTTCAGAATTCTGCACCATCGCAGTTTTGCAAAGCAAGCTGTGCAAACCCAGCCCCTGTAGTCGGTTTACGGTTCCTGGTGTCCTGCAACCCTGAAAACTAAATAGATCGTACATAAAGATGCCGTGCAAACAAAGCCCGTCTAGTTGGGGTTCTCGCCGCGCGGCTAACGGAACTACTAGTAGCCT